CTGCATTGGGGAAGTGGGAGTTGCATTCTGATTTACGAGCAAGTCTGGGAGTGTCGGATTCAGTAGATCTGCTGCGAAAAGCAGACTGAACGAATTCTTACTTCACCCCTTACTTCATTACACTTATGATGGTGATGATATGATTCAACTGTGACAGGTGCAAGACCCCAAACTGGATAAAGTTTTTGTCACTAATACATCGTGATACACTGGGCTGATTACTCAATATCATAGTGATTCAAGTCCCTGCTATGTTTTTTTTCTTGGCGGCAGGGACATTGGATAAAGGAACACTTGATTTCCACAATTTCTTATAGGGTAGTATAAGAAATATAGTATGGGTCGGTAGAATAGGTGAGTGATCCATTCTGTGTCTTTTATTCATGATAATTGCTAGTGAACTGACTTAACTGAGAGCCAGTGTGGTGTAGTGGTTAAGAGCGGTAGTCACGTAATCTGGGGAACCGGGTTCGCGTCTCCACTCCTCCACATGCAGCTGCTGGGTGACCTTGGGCCAGTCACACTTCTTTGAAGTCTCTCAGCCCCACTCACCTCACAGAGTGTTTGTTGTAGGGGAGGAAGGGAAAGGAGATTGTTAGCCGCTTTGAGACTCCTGAAGGGGAGTGAAAGGCGGGATATCAAATCCAAACTCCTCCTCCTCCTCCTCTTCTTCTTCTTCTTCTTCTTCTTCTTCTTCAACTGTAGAGGCTAATTGTTCAGACATTAGCACCAATGAAAGCCAAAACAGTTTGGAGTCTATGGCTCAGTGAAGTTTCATACACTTCTGTCCAATAGAACTTATTGATATAGACTGTCCAGGACCCACTCCTTCCAGGCAGAGTTTCCAAAATTTGCTTATTCCCTTGACCCTGGAGACAATGGGGAACAGTTGCATCTTAATAATCCTTTTGCTTTCCCTGGAATAAAAATGATGAGCCATTGATCTAAAGGCAAAAACAAAACTAGTTATGTAAGTCTTCCCAGAAAACAGGAACTGACTAATTCAGGGTGAATTCAGGAATGTCACAACTAACTTAGGGGGGGGGGGAGAAACTAATTACAGGCAGGAGCCATTTTAAAAGGGCCCAGGAGGAAGCTATTAATTAAAGGCACTGTAGCTGCGAAAACGCTTGGTAATAGCTTCCAACTGGACAAGCTGGTGCTGCAGTTGGATTTTAATACTACTTGTGTGTGCTACAAATCAGGCTTTAATAAAGACAGGAGGATAGATGGAAAACACTGGAAGGCAATGCTGGGCAGCAACATTGTCTGGATTCTTCATAATAATGGAGTGAAAAATTAGGTCTGTTCCAGAGATAACAGCTAGTGTGGAAGCAACATATATTTAGGTCCAGGTCTTGAATGGTAAAAAAAAAAAGACTCTGGCTTTTTTGCATGATGGTAGCATATTGGCAGGGGCAGATGAAGGTGGCTAAACTCAATTATTTAAAGTGCAGGGGGTTTCCTGGAATCATTCATTCCAGGCGTTAGCTTATACACCCATGTTCATTCCTGCACACTCTTCTTCCTAATCTACAGGCACAGAATTAAGAAATTTGACCTCGGTAACCTTTCAAATGAATCTTTTCCCTTATCTGACAAGTGAACTCTTGAGTTTTTGCAAAACTCACAATGACTGTTCTTGATCAATGTACTACTAAACTCCTTAAAGCCATCATTCAACTTGCAACAGCATGCCGGAGCTATCTCTGCCCTGACTCAATCAATCTTTAGACAGTCTGGTTTACCAGAACCAGACCTTTACTATGTGGGTACCTATACCATTCGTTCATAATTTTATTTGTATGCTGCTTTTCCACAAACAGAATCATGCTCAAAGCAGCTTACAAGAAAGGAAACATGAAAGCATTTCAGAAACGAACAGCACAAAACAGTTTCATAGTAACAAAATAATACAACAGCAAATACAGCAACATACCAAATATCTATCATCTATTTATCATCTATTAGTACTACAGATATAACAAGATTACATTAACAACATCCAACAGCTTCATCTTGATCCTAGAAACAGCTCTCCCATGATGTGGCTCACAGTCCCTCCCTGCAGTCACTTGCAAGGCTTGACGCCCCCCCCCCCCCCGTCCCAACATCATAGGTCTAACAAAAGGTTTTGCATTTTATGCATCAACCTGAGATCCTACACAATGACCCTATTAGTCTTGATAAATATTTTAAAGCATTTTTTAATATGGGCTTTGGGGAGGGGATGTGTGCATGGTGTATATGCAGCCTGTAGCATGAACTGGAACAATGTGAAATAGAATCATGCTTTTCTACTTATTTAATCACCCATTTTGTGTGCAGAAACTAGGATGAAAGTGCATGATGGTGATGGTGGTGGTGATGACGATGATAATGATAATAATAATATATTTTGTACAGAGCGGAACACTCTATGTCACACTGTATAACATAGGGCCATTGACTAGAGTACTTTCAAGGAACCTTTCAACACTGAGCTATCTGAAAAGGAATCTGTGCCATTCCAGCCGCAGGACACTTTCACCTTCAAGAGAAGACTCATTTCATTTAGGCTTACTATGAGAATATTGCTAGAACACAGCCAATACACTGTGGAAAAGGTCACCCATATTGGTTGTTCACCATGACCGATCTTCTCACTGAGGAATCAGGTGGTCTATTGGGACTCAAAGCTATTGTTGTAGATATGGATCCACTCTCTTTTACCCTCTCAATTCATTCATCTGGCTTCATTAATGCCTCCTGAATTAACACTTGAAATGAAAAGATAAAAGAACCCCTGCATGATTCTTTAAAAATGTATGACAGGATGCTTCTTAGGTATGAGGACAGAATGCATTCACTTTAAAGGAAAATGATGGGGGCACCATGAGCAGTCTTTTTCCTTCATCATATTATCTTCCCTAGTAGCTGCTGTGCTTTTCCTGTAGCAAGGGAGGAAAAAATGCCAGAGATGCATGCCTTGGTGATGATGGCCAGTGGATTGGAAATTTCTAAATGATGCATCCGGCCTGGTGCCTGCTGATGGTTATCTCTGGCTCTCTCAGGGGTTCAGTATGTCTTGAGTTGTCAGGGGTGCCAACTTGAATAAAATATTGGGGGGACAAGTAAGCCTCGCCCCAGATAACTGATAGCAAAATACGGTACACACACACAATTTGAATGGCAATGCCCATCAACTTTGGGGGCCTGCCCTCTCAAATATTTTATTGGGGGGCAGAGGAACCTCAGTCCCTAGGAGTTGGCTTCTATGGTTGGCAATGTGGACCACCAGCAGCAGCAGTTGGCCACAAATGTGCAAAGTAAGTTAGACTGAAGACGTGAGAGAGCAGAAACTCCAAGAGTCCCTTTTCCAGCTTCCTTTACTTACCGTATTTTTCGCTCTATAAGACGCACCAGACCATAAGACGCACCTAGTTTTTGGAGGAGGAAAACAAGAAAAAATATTCTGAATCCCAGAAGCCAGAACAGCAAGAGGGATCACTGCGCAGCAAAATCAGCGATCCCTCTTGCTGTTCTGGCTTCTGGGATAGCTGCGCAGCCTGCATTCGCTCCATAAGACACACACACATTTCCCCTTACTTTTTAGGAGGGAAAAAGTGAGTCTTATAGAGCAAAAAATACGGTATTTCTTTCAAGGGGCTCCTGCTCAGTTCTGATTGACAGTTTTGCAACAGGCCAAAAACATTCTGCAAAGTGAACCCAATTACAAAGGCTTTTGAGCAACTGAAAATATTGCTGCTGACATGCCTTTTCATCCCATTTGTGGTGGACCTCAGGCCTGGTCACTGGGCATCTCCCTGGGGAATTACTCCTTTCCAGGCTCTTTCTGGTCCTGCTCTCTTGCTTCCACAAGTGTTTTTCCTGGCTTGTTGTTTTCCTCATAATGTCTCTTGAGGAGCTGAGGACAGAGAAAGATGTAGGTAGGTGTATAGATGCCTTTGACTTCTGTGTAACTGAAACATAGAGCTTTCCACAGATTGACGTTTGTTCCAATTTAGTAGTAAACAGCAGCTTTTCCCGAGAAAAGTGTTGGGACAACCCCCCCCCAAAAACAAACCTAGAAATTGTGGCACAAACAGAAGAGTGGACGAGCCCTTACTCTGCATAGGTAAGAGTCACAACTGTTGCTTCACCTGCTTTGGCTTCTGTCCCCACCTGGTCCTGCCCACCCATGTGGCCCTCGGAAGGTTCCTGACAAGGGAATGTGGCCCTTGGGCTGAAATAGTTTCTCCACTCTGGACCTAGCAGTTATTCACTCCAGACCTACCATCAGGTATTTTACCTTTCTGGTCAACATTCTTGCCTTGGATCCATAACCAGGTGTTTTGGTGTAGGAAACATGCTTTGTACCTGAGGGAGTTGCAGTTCATTGTTGTCATTTCCTGCACTCTAATCAGCCAGGTCCCCTGCTGTTGGACCCAAGCCTTCAAGCCTTCCCGCCTCAACTGCACTATCCACCAAAACTAGCAGCACTCCTGCCTCCAAAGACTCCATCCAGTGGTGCAGTTTGGTAGTTGAAGACTCTGGAATTAATGATATTGTGGAGACCACCTTGAGCTGGCAATGTCCATTATTTGGCTTGTGTCAACATGTAGCAAGGCAACTTGTCAAGGAAGTAAACAAGGAACATGTCAAGGAAATAAACAATTATCTGACTTTTAGATGACATCTGAAGGCAGCCCTGTTTAGGGAAGTTTTTAACGTTTGATGTTTTATCATGTTTTTAATATTCTGTTGGGAGCCACCCAGTGTGGGTGGGGAAACCTAGCCACATGGGTGGGGTAGAAGTAATAAATTATGATGATGATGATGATGATGATTTTATTAACCCTCTTGCCAGTTCTCCTTAAGTGGGATCCCAAGGGCACCACTGACTCCATCCACCAGACAGTCACAAACCACCTGCCTTATTCTATAACGTTTTTATTTCCAAGTAAGTGTCACTGAATGTATTTATTTATTCTTTATTCATTAAATTTCTATATTTCCCTTCACCCTCGGATAACCAGGTAATTTGTCAGTAGTGCTTTCTTTCGAGTAACCACACACAGAATCGGGCTGCTGTGCAACACACCTTCTTCTTCTTCTTCTTCTTCTTCTTCTTCTTCTTCTTCTTCTTCTTCTTCTTCTATTTGCTTTGGGGGCATCTCTTTAGGTTTGTACGGTTTTGTAAACCGCCCTGCGGTCTTCGAATGAAGGGCGCTCTAGAAATTTAATAAATAATGATAAATCCTTCAAATAACAAATGATAGCCCCTTCTTCGTGATGCTGCCAAAGTTTGCTCTTCGGAAACTTCAAGCCTTGCGGGAGGCTTGGAGGCAGGGACGGCTTTGACACGTGTCCCTCTACCTCAGGGGTCATCTGCCCCGGGGGAGGCTTTTTAGGGAGGGCATTCCGCCTCCGTGTCCCTTCTCACCCGCGGAGTTCCTATAGACTGGGGCACGGATTTCGGTGATCGGTTCCCAAAGCACCTCCCGTTCGATCCGCCCAGTGGGGAACAGTCCCCACCACACACACACGCACACACGTGTCTTGGCGCCGGCGCCGCGCAGCCACCCACGCACCCTTGCTCCGCTATTTCGCCGACCCCTGCGAAGAGAGCTCGGCTGCCTAAGTAAACATCGCCGAGCTGCTAATCACAAGGTCTGAAACAAAACAGCACTTCACTTCGGATCTGGGCAAGATCAGTCCTCCTCCTCCTCCTGCTCTCCTTCGCATCGGCTAAGGTGGTCCTTGAGATCGAGCCGCTTCCCTCCCTGCTCTCGCTTTTCCTCCGCGCACCGGGGGAGCAGCCGGGGGGTCGGGCACCCATCGCGGGCTGCAGCCGAGCGCAAGCTGCGTTGCTTAGTTCCTGGCTTCGCTTTCTCCGGAGACAAGAAGAGGGGAAGAGAGCGCGCGGAGGGGAGAGGGGTATCTTTCCCTTGCCCTCGCTTCCAAGCTGCCCATGCTGCGATTTTTATTTCTCTCTCGCCTCCCCAGCCAGATATAACCATTGCCTCTTTGTCGAGTCTGCTCCCCTCCCCGCCACCTCCCGCAAAGTTGCTGTCGTCGTCGGGGTTTGAGAGCGCCCCAGGATGGGGCTTGATCCTGCAGCCCCTCGCCAGTCTCCCGGGTACTGGCGAGCCTTGCCGCTGCTGGCGTGCGCTTTCCCCTTGGTGACATTCGCTTCCTTCGCCGACGAGACCTTAGAGAGAGCCCCCAAATCCGAAGGCTACTGCAGCCGGATCCTGCGAGCCCAAGGCACGAGGCGAGAGGGATATAATGAATTTAGCCTCCGCGTGGAAGGCGATCCGGATTTCTACAAGCCCGGAAACAGTTACAGAGGTGAGTGGGGCTGGCCGCTTCCAAAGGGCGCAGCAAGTGTCGGGCAACTAACCGGGATGGTGGGCGGGGGGGGGGGGGAGAGAGGTCTTCCTCTCTGGACGGAGGCAACTTGCTGCTATGCACGACGCTGGTTTGGGGGGTGGGTTGCTTTGCTACGCAAATAAGGAGCAACACTTGTTCTGTTTTTTAAATCGAGTTTGTGTGTATTGCTCTCCCTCCCCACCCCCTTAAATGCATGCTAAGGGGGGGTGGTTCTACGACGCAGCACCCAGACTTACTCTTCTTACCTTAATTGCCCCTTGCACTTTTCCAGCGTTGCGACTGGAAATTATTTCACTTGGCAGAAGATACTTAATAGGCTGCTAGTGGTCTTGCTGTGAGACAGGAAAAGGAATAGGTCTGGAGAGCAGATGGGCCAAGAAAAGGCACCAGCTTTCCTCACAGTTTCCACTTAGGTCCCAGGCTAACTACTTGGCCTTTATGCTACTTGTAATTCCTGCCCTGAGAAAGCACTCTGCATGCCCTCAGGAGCACTCAGGATGAGCCCTGGCGCTGAAAACATAGTCCAAGAAGTAAAAGAAATGGCAAGTGGATGAAGGAAAAAGAGTCTCACCTACCCCTGGCAGCAAGTGTCCTGAGGGTGAATATTCTACAAAATGTTGCTCAGAGGTTTCCTATAGTTTTCTCAGAATCAGAGTGTCTCCTTATAATAGGGGAAATGTCTACAAATCACATTTTCAGCTTGAACAGCAGATCATTGTTAAGATCTAACTTCCCTAGCAGGGCACTGCACCCCCCCCCATGGTTATTATTTTAAAATATTTTGGGAAAATATTTAAGCCCACCTTGAACACGCCCTTGAGCAAAAGTGTCAGATCTCATTAACACTGCAAACTCATTAACCTAGTTACCTTATGGTAGCCCCAACTTTTGAGGTAGGCATCTTCCCCCACCCCCACAACCTTTAGCTAAAGTAAGTGAAAGAGCATCCTTCTTCTCCCATGAGGCAAACCCAGACAGGATTATATTCTTAGGAAAGGGAATGTTATCCACTTGTGAATATTTGGGTGTGGTTTTTTTTTGTTTTTTTTTACATTTGGAAGGAAAATGGGTTGAATAAAAGAAATAAAGCTGAATCTACGTGTAAAACAACCACCATACCCTAAATTATTCTCCATGAACAGGTGACCAGCTAAACTTTGAGTTTGCAACTCTTTTCTGTGCCAAGTCAACTTGGCATCTGCCTATTTGGTTTCTTAATGGCCTGGAAATATTCTTGCAAAGGTCTGAAAATTACTCGCAGTGAAAAGTTCTACAGAGTATTGTTTTTAGTTGCCAAGAAGGGTTTTTTGTTTCTTGGATCTGGAGGGGAAAATAGACTTTCAAATAAACTTCCAGAACAAACTTGGAGGAAATATGAAGTTTTTGCCAGCAGAATGCAATCAAATAATCATTTACACACACATTTACGAGTGGTAAAAGTTTTCGGATTCTGATCTCTGGCTCATTAGAGGATGTGACACTGGAAATTTAGCACACATTACTTGTAGTTTTCAAAGCTAAATTCTTCCAGATCCTCCTAAAACTTAGCCAGATGGGAGGAGCATGAGAAAATGTTGTAAGTATAACTTTATGTTTCCTACAGCAGTTTAATGTTGTCACTTAGCTTTATTTTTATTAACTCTCACAAGAATTTAACAAGTCTCTCTCATGCAACATGAAATGACATCACACAGTCTGGGGGGAAAATCCTTCCTAGGCTCAGTTGTTTGGTTTTTAAAAAAAAGTAATAACAGTGATCTTAGAAAATATCTGTCTTATCTGAACAAAATCTGTGTAAGAGGCAAAGCTGATTAATTAAGGACAAACTGAGGCTTTGTTGCCTATAAATTACCAGGAAGCAAGAAATACTGTGCAGAAGATGCTGAGAAAGACAGCTGAGTTATAGCCAAAGATTCAGCAAATGATGTTAACAGGGACTGAGAGCATTAGTGGGAGAGAGGAGGAACCTCCTGGTGCCAAATCCTTAGTCTATTTCTTATGTGTTTTTGTCACTGTGTGGGGTTTCTGGTAGAAGGCTTTGCCACCTGGAGCTGTTCTTCAAACAGAAAGAGCAAGCATGATTTTCCTGTTCACAACTGCTACTTCTCTTTGGCACAGGGTGTGAGGTGGTTTTTAACCATGGAAAGAAGATTCACACTTTTGCAGGGAGAGGAATGAACACATGGCAGAGCTGGCCGAGGGAGGTGGCCACTTCAGGCAGATGACTTGTTGGTTATTTAATTGATTGTTGCTGGATATGTGCTGCCAGGGAGATGAAGAGGTGCTTGTGGGATTTTGTGCCTCGGGTCCACCTTATCTTGGTGGAGGGCACCATTTGCTGCTCCGCCTCAGGCAGCAAAATATCACGGGATGACCTGGAACTTGGGACAAGTTGTTTTCCCGCCTAGCAGATGCTTCACACAACTGATTTCCCCTTTGGCCAATAGTTCAGTCTCCACGGGGCAGGATGTGTCTGGAAAATGTTCCTGTGGAAGAGTTCAACACACATTTCTCTCTTTACTAGCATATGTTCAGGACATTTTGATAATCTGTGCTGCCTTGTTTGCATTCGTGGGTTCAAAAGGGATTCTGTCATGTGGAGGGTAGAAAACATGGCCACATGTGGAAAGGTGCAGCTTGTAAAACAACTGTCAGTGTTCTGTGGTGCCTTTTGTCCTTTCTGAGGAGGGTGGCTATATGTCCTACTTTATAGAGGACACTCCTTGATTTGAAGGGCTTAAAGATAAAGAACCATTAAACGGGGGAGAGCAGAGAGGGCCTAGGAATTGCCCATCAACAGTTAGCATCTGGACAGCAGACGAAGCAGGCACATGTCTTATCTAGCCTTCCCTACTATCCTTATATGTATTGTATTTCTATTTAAGTTATACTCGTTGTTTCTAAATTTGCACCTATACATACGGCTTTTTCTGTAACAGTACCCACCAGTACAGAGTACCATGACCTCTTTCTTTGCTGCCCATGGCAGCCATTTTCTGTTGGCACCCATGACACTTTTATCAGTATATCGGCACCTCATTTTTTTTTTTACCAAAAGCAAAGCAATTATTCATATAATTAGTGGGTGCACATTTTAGGCAACACTGTGTCCCATCCAGTTTGTTCTCCCTCTCTTATACTTCTTCTTTGGAGGCAATATGTAAAAGGCCACTGAAATAATTTTGTGAGGATGAGAAAAGCCTCCTTCCTGTCAGTCTACTTGATTTATTTTAGCATTCTCACCAAAATACATTCCCTGGGATTCCAGGGTGGGGTGTGGATAGCCATTTAAACTACTATTTCAATGCAGTGCCTATATGTGCTTTATGTGGTATCTGTAGTGATTTCATTGTCCCAGAAGCAATAGGAGAGATGAGATAAACCCAAAAGAGTTGTCTTCAGCTGAGAGCATGAGGAGGGTAAGGTAGGAAAGTTCATTCTCTGCCTGTTCCTCAACCTCCCAGGTCTTCCTTTGCCCGAAGCATGACAAAAGTCTAAGGCTGCAATGTTATGTACATGTAACTGGGAGTAGGTGCAACTGAACACAGTGGGATTTATGCTCAAGCAAATGAAATATGCATATGATTGTGCTGTGAAGTCTACATTTGGGTCCCCGTTATCCTCTTGCCTGCTGTATCCAAGGTAGCTCTCTCAATTCTTTCAGTTAAGTGGCAGAGGAAGTCATTGCCAGCTCTTTTGATTTTCTTTTTAGCATCATGAGTGTAGGTGTTTTCCTAACACTCTGCCTGCTAAAACTTTGACACTCTTAGCAATAGTTTAGAAAAACATTTTTCATTTTATGACTGTAGGTAAAAAGCGTTAAAATATGGCTGCAGACTGAACCCTCCCCTCCTGAAACTAAAAGATACATAAGTACCTGTAATAAGCAATTCCTGAGCTTTGCTTTTTTACAAGCTTACAATTTCTGTTCTAGTCCTGTCTCACAGAGCTGCCAAATTTGCATATACAGTGGTACCTTGGTTCTCAAACGTAATCCATTCTGGAAGTCCGTTCGACTCCTGAAACCATTCGAAAACCAAGGCGCAGCTTCTGATTGGCTGCAGGAGCTTCCTGCACTCAAGCAGAAGCCACGTCTGATGTTTGGCTTCCAAAAAAAGTTCGAAAACCGGGTTTTCGGTGTTTGGGAGGCAATTTGTTTGTCAACTAAGCCGTTTGAGAACCAAGGTTTGACTGTAAAGACAGTAACTAAGAATAATCCCACAGGATCAGAGCAAAGGCCTATCTAGTCCAGCATCATGTCATCCACAGTGGCCAATTCATAAGCAAAAGCACTCTCTTGTTCATGATCTGGTATTCCGTGACATACTGCCTCTGATGCTGGAGGTAATATATAGCCCTTATGACTTGTAGCCATTGATAACCTTGATAACCTTGTTTTCCATGAATTTATCTACTCCTATCAGCCCAGCCAGCATGGCTATTGAACAGGGACTGATGGGAATTGGAGTCCAACAACTTCTGGAGAGCCACAGTTTCTGCGCCCCGGTACCATCCCGTCAGGGTTGGGGCAAAGGGCAGGAAAGTAGTATTACACTCTTATGTGTGGCACCCACCATATTATGCTCTTCCTACTGAGATTAAGATGGCTCCAAAGATAGGTGTTTCCATCAAGTGAAAACCAAGTGTTTCCTGATGCCCAGTCTCCTAGTTACTGTGCTGTGTTTGAGTCATCAGTTTTAATGGATTTTATATTATTTTAATATATTAAAAACTACTTTGGCATTTTGCTACAAATGAAAATCGGTACAAAAATTTTAAAAGATTAAATAACTGTGGGAGTTTTGATTTTCTAGAACTGTGAGCAGCAGTTCTGGAACCGAAGCAGAGAGAGGGTCACAAATAGTTCATCCTGACTCCCACCCCTTTAATAGACATGGGACTGTGCCTGAGAGCCCTTTCATATGCAGCAACAATCGTGTGGGGGCCTCCTTCCTATGGTGAGATCTAATGCTGCTAAGGGTTACAATGGGGTTAATCGATCTACATTGGTGGGCTTAATGGCATAGGTCTCTCTGCAAATAGAGGCATCTTGGAAGGGAGAGTGTTGAAGGAGAAAAATACTCGCCATTTGCTGCATCCACAGGGTTACATAGCGTCATTGACACATAGCCCCACCTTTAGGTATGTGAGATAGCATCACAGAAAAGCAGCCAGCTAACAGTGGCTGTGTAAGAAGGCACAACATTTTGAGTAACCATCCACAACTGTTGATGTCACTATCAAAGGTGGGTAGGGAGCTTTAATGGAGAGGAGCATGTATGAAAATTCCTTTGCCTCAGCAGCTTTATGTTCAGAAACCATTGGATACATCCTTATGTCTGAACGTACTTTCGTTTTCAGATTTTAAAAACTCAGTGCATAGATATGCTGGGGCTTTGGCCAGGGTTGGGTCAGAAATATCTTAGCCTGAAAAGAGCTCTGCTGGATCCGGCCAAAGGACCACCTAAGCCTCTCTGCTCACTGTGGCAAACCAGATGCCCATGGGAAGATCATAAGCAGAACCAAAACATGTCAGAACTCTCCGCACCTTCTGTTTCCAGCAACTGGTATTCAGAGGCATACTTCAACAGTGGAGGTAGAACATAGTCATTGTGGCTAAGAGTTATGGAAGAACCTTATCCTCCATGAATTTGTCTAATCTTTTAAAGCCATCCAAGTTGGTAGTCATTACCATACCTTGTGGTAGCAAACTCCCCAGTTTAACTATGCAGTATGTGAAGATGTCTTGAAGATGTCTGTCTTGAATCTTCCAACATTCATCATCTATTTTTTTCCTCTTTTACTATTTGTCTAATAACAATAATTTATTTATACCCCACCCATTTGGCTGGGTTTCTCCAGCCACTCTAGGCAGCTTACAGCATATATAAAAACATAATAAAACATCAAGCATTAAAAACTTCCCAGCCTTCAGATGTCTTCTAAAAGTTGTGTGGTTCTTTATCTCTTTGACATCTGAAGGGAGGGTGTTCCACAGGGAGGGTGCCACTACCAAGAAGTCCCTCTTCCTGGTTCTGTGTAACTTGGCTCCTCGCAGTGATGGAACCAGCAGAAGACCATCGGAGGAGGACCTCAGTGTCTGGGCTGAGCCATGGGGGTGGAGACATTCTGTTTCACAACCTGGTTTGGTGGGTGGGTGGGGGAAACCAGGAGGGTTGCCTTGCCCAGCACTGGTCAAGCTATCATGTGGGGCTGATGGGTTGTGTATGGGTTAGGCTGCAATCCTATGCATACTTGGTTGGGAGTAAGTTCCACTGAAATGATTAAGATGGGACCTCTCCTAGGGAAAAGCACCAATTGGCCTAATTGCTTGCAGTTACGATGTAGGGTTGGGGGGGCGTGAGATAGAGGCTGTTGTAGAAACTCTACTAGAAATAATAGTTGGCAAACTTTTCCCAATTTGGGTGCTGTATCAGTTGCAAGGCACTTTTCTCTTGATTACATACTGGCATGATATTATACATGAGCACATGGATGGAAATAATAATTGCTAGTTTGTAATTGTGAGTGCCGTTTAAAAAGAACACAGCATTACTAGCAAATGCAGAAACTTTTAAGTATGAATATACTGTGAGTATTTGCTTGATTTTAGTATTCATATATTCAGATTTTGCCCTATAACCAGGAGAACTGGGGAAATGGGATGGGGGGCTAATAACCAGGAGACTCATGTAGTCAAATGACTCTGGAAGGCTGTAGCACTGGCTTCCACGATATGATAAAATTAGCAGGCTTGCCATATAAATCATGAGCACTAGATGCTCACCTACTCATGAAAGAGAATACTAAAATGAGAACACATAAAATTATTCCCATAAGAAGAAATAAATAGATCGTACTAAAGATTCCCTTTTATTGGTTTATATTAAACTGGAATAATACACTAGTTCCATCAGAGTGTTGAACACTGGTTTGAATTCTCCACTGTATACATTCTTTTTAATAGAATAAACTGTGATCTGCAATCAGTTTAGTTAAGCATTATGCAATCAATCTGCAGGGAATTCGCAAGTAATTTTGTCCATAGAAAATGTTTTAGTTTTATTTCAAAGTGGGTCCTCCCCTGCCTAAAAAGTAACCAACAAACAACTCCTCTTTGACAATTTGATGTGACATTTTGGTTTATTGTGGCCTCTTCTGAAAAAGCAATATGAAAACTGAAGTACATTGTTTAGTACAGAGTAGAAAAAAATATGGGGAGAGAGATCCATTCCCTTCGGCAATGCACTTTTGACATTTTGCCTAGCTTTGCATTAGTCAGTGCTACTGTGGCTTTGTTGTATAAAGGAAGGGAATTAAGCATTTATCTGTGTAGCTGTGATCCCATCACATTTCTCTGTAGGAGGAACAAATGTGAATCCGACTAACTAAGAAGGGATTTATACAAGAAGGGGTGGAAATGGATATTGGCCTAATGAACCACTGCCATAACATACTAATTCTGTTTGCTGAGTTTAGCTTCTACTGAGATTGTACTTGTTTTCAGGGGTGATATTCCACTAAAATTTGCTCAGAATAGACCTATTGAAATTAATGGGCATAACTTAGTCAAGCTCATTGATTTTAATGGGTCTACTCTACATTACTTTTATGTGGTGATTTTTCCCCCACGTGCTTTTTCCAACCATTCTGTCAATGAGAAAAGGAACTGCATGTGGAAATTATCAAAGGAGAAAGAAAATTTCAGTGAATTTTTCATAGATGAGGGGTAGGTTTTTTGTTGAGCTTGCCTCGGTTTCAAGGTGACCATGCGGTGTTTGTGAGCGACCTTTCTTTCATCTCCCCCATGGTCTGCACTTCCTGGGTGACTATCCTTTCTGAAAGCACCATGACATCCTCAGCTGGGCTTATTTGTAAGCATGAGAAAGTGTGGAAGCTGCCACTATGTTATTTTGTTCTAAAGTGAAGTCTTTTTATACTTTTAATGAAAAGAAAAGGAAATAAATCCCCCTAAAAACAAAATCATCTGTAGTTTCTGAAGTGGCTGAAACTAAGGAAAGAGGTCAAAGTAGACAGCTGTCTGGAAATATTGATTCTGATCTCTTGTAGCAATGAAAAAGAAAATTCAATGGAAGGAATCATTTGGAAAGGAATCAAAACCAGAACTATCAATACAAGTATATGCATTTATTGAGAATCTACTTATTTGGAATCGCTCACTGCCAGATAAGATTACATAGAAATAAAGCAGGATTCTGCACAAAGTGTTACTAAAAATAATAAGAACAATTTGACCAAAAGTCAAGTTTGGTAGGAAAGGGCTCTTCATTCTCCAATAGGAATCTCTGGCACATCACAACCAAACTATGTGCAACATTTAATGCAAATGCACCTTTGCATTTAACATGCATTGTTTGTTTTAATAGCAAAATGTTTGTGGAAGGCTGAGGCTAGTAATTAACAGGATCAGAGCACACACAGAGGGAGCACTTGAACCATGGAATTGTAGAGTTGGAAGAGACCATGAGGATCATGTAGTCCAAACCCCAGCAATGCAGGAATCCTTCACACAATGTGGGTCTCAAACCTACAAGCCTGAGGTTACGAGTCTCATGCTCTACCAACTGAGCTATCTGCTTTCATCTCCTCCTGAGGTCCTAAAGAAAACCCTTCTCATGAAACTGGCATTTGTGGGGGAGGGGAGAGAGAAACCCATTGGCACTAACTGGACACTTAATTCCAAATACAAATTTTAAATAAAATGCTCTTGGTGTTGTACAAGTTCAGCAGGTTGTGTTGCTGGGCTAGTTAAAAGAAGAGAGATAAAACTGCAAGTTAAGCATACTTTCTAGAATGTGAAGCCTTGTGCATGAACAGTGGATTCATTCCTTAGCATGATTGCTTTGCAGGAATGTAGGATTGTTACAAGGAAGAAGAGAGCTGCATTAACTGCTGTATGGAACCACAGTTTTAATTCCACTTCCAGCCCACTGTGGGAGATCAGTGCCAACCAGGAAGTTAGCACTTTAAACGTTGCTTCTTCTGTGAAATTGCCAAGTGGCCTTTGGACAGCTACTCTCAGCTCCCACAGCCCCCATCTGAATTATAGGGATAATAGCGTTGATTGACTTTATGGTGTTCTTGTAAAGATTCCAAAAAATAATGTACATAAAGTATTTTGAAACACTGTAAGGTAATATGCATATATAAAAGCATTATTAAGAAATGGTGGCTGGTCTTCTAACATTAGTAAAAAGTTAGCCCAGTGTTTGCCAAGATCAAGGTGGTAGATGTGGACATTTTCCAGGGCCCCAAGTTCAGCAGAGGGGCCTCAAACAGCCCTACCATTTCCACTTTCCACAGAATATCCAAGAACATCATAAGCAGTCTAAGAGCATTCACTGTTTGCATGCCCTGTTTCCTTCAGGTGAAGGGACCCGACTGACAGTGCCATGACTGAAGCCTGCCACCACCCACTGCAAAAAAATAAATGAACTCGGAACCAGTACTTTCTAAAGTATCTTGTTTAAAAGCTCTGTAAAAACAAACTCATTTTAAAAGTCTTATTTTCCTGCCTTTTCGCCCCCAGTAACACTTTCCGCTGCCACTCCAGCTTATTTTCGTGGATTCACACTGATTGCTTTGAAAGAGGGCAAAGAGGGAGAGAAAGAAGAAGACCACGCAGGGACTTTTCAGGTGAGTAGCTGGCTCTTGAACTTCACCTTCAGAGAGTCTGTCTGGATGGTTATTTCACAGCAGGATGGATACTGTACAAAACAACATAATCTATTTGTGTTGATATCAATATCTCTGTAGTTGCAGGCATGGGATAAGCTTTGCAACTCCAGCTAAAGATCAAATTTCTACGGGAAAAGAATTCGGCATGTGCTGTTAAGTTGGCTGCGGAGTTCAGTGGATTTATACACTTATAGTTCAATCTTAGACATGTTTACTTGGAAGTAAGCCCCACTGAAGTCAATGGAACTTACTTCCAAGTTAAGTATGCATAGGATTGCAATCTTAAAATAATTTGACAGACAAGGTGCAAGAAATAGGAAGTTGATGCTGGTATGCAGCTATTCATAACAAATATAGTCAGCTCCAAATATTTTTGCAATGTTTATTTTGTCCAGCAATTGGTCTCTTTTTGTCCACATTCCTTTTTCCAGACTAGCAGATATTATTTTAATATGTTGGTATTTTGATAGCTATGTTGTTTGAATCTAGTCGTCATCACTTGGAAGTAGGTCCCACTTAGTTCACTGGGGTTTACGCCTAAATAATTATGCATGGTGTGGCAGTTTTGTCTTACTAAAATGTGCTTTAGCAAACTGCAGTCTGGTCTGATTTGTCCTGGAGCCCTTGAGTTTTCCAAGAAATCATTAATCACATGACTTTCATGTTCCCTAATGGTTCATGAACTAAAAAGCAAATAAAAAACAGCAAGTTCAAGTTAGGAAGGAATATTGTTTTTGCATCTGTACTGCTAGAAAGATTATATTTATCAATTACACTGACTTAGTGAGACCACTGTTGCTCTTGTTGACCTCCTCTGAACTTGGGAGTTTGCTACCTGGAGTTTCCTCAATACTTCATTCAATTGGTCCGCAGCTTCCAGTTCAGACTGCATGAACATATATGTGAAATTAGGATTTATGTGCCCCAACTTTACACTTTCTTACACTGAATTGTATTTGACATTTTACTGCCCATTCACCAAGTTTGGAGAAATCCTTTGAGCTCCTTGCAATCCCTTTTTGTTTTAACCGCCTTGAACAACTGATATCACCAGCAGACTTTACTGCCTCTCTACCTACTCCTAACTCTAAATCATGAATGAAGAAGTTAAAAAAACACAGGTTCCTTGTGGGCTTCACTTTCGACATCTGTCCATTGGGAAAACTGTCCATTTATTCCTACCTTCTGCTTCGTGTTCCTTAACCAGTTATGCAAGAGCTTACAGAAGTTTTCTTGCAATGTAACATTGATTTGTACTTCAGAATATCAATACGGAAAATACAGTGTATAAATCCAGTGGGCCATACAAAAGTCTTGGGAATGACCTTGTGTAACCTGTTACACAATTTGGCTGGCCCAAACTGAGAAACTCTTCTGAATTTGGGATAACTTTTCTCATGCAGTGCTCTTTGCAAAGCTGGAAGCAGCATTTCTGAGAAGGTAAGAGGCTTTCTAGGGACGCGGGTGGTGCTGTGGGTTAAACCACAGAGCCTAGGACTTGCCGGTCAGAAGGTCGGCGGTTTGAATCCCCGCGGCGATGTGAGCTCCTGTTGCTTGGTCCCTGCTCCTGCCAACCTAGCAGTTTGAAAGCAGGAAGTGCAAGTAGTTAAATAGGTAGGTAAACGGCGTTTCCGTGCACTGCTCTGGTTCGCCAGAAGCTGCTTAGTCATGCTGGCCACATGACCCAGAAGCTGTACGCCAGCTCCCTCTGCCAATAAAGCGAGATGAGCGCTGCAACCCCAGAGTCGTCCGCTACTGGACCTAATGGTCAGGGGTCCCTTTACCTTTACCTAAGAGGCTTTCTGCTAATGAAAGAGTGCCCTTAGGTCCACCCTGGTATCCAGCAAGCACATGGTCCTGCAGGTTCCCTCACTTCCTCCCTGATCATAGCACACCATATTGTCATATTGCTGAATTCTCCACCTCGCCCCCTCCGTGACCCCGACTAATAAGTGCAGTGTCAAGGCTCAACTCTATCATTTAGAGAATGTGTGGGGCAACATAAATTCCTCTTTGTCCATTTTCATCTTAATTGTTTGCTCATTGAAGAGTTTATAACTTGTGCAATCAATCCAGCAGTTGTGATCCTATAAAATACATAATCTTAACTTTTATTGTGCCTGGGGTGGTTTGTTTGTTTTTTTAACCCAGATCATTTTCATACTTCACAGACATCTGTACTGAGTCATGCAGCTTAATTTTTGCTGAAACTTTCAGCTGAGGATGTTTAAGCAGAAAAATAAGCACTCTCTGTTTGATAACAATATTATCCACTATTAATAATATGGAGTTTGCCAAACTAGAATAGGATTTATTCTTGCAGATTTAGTATTCTTACAGGTTTACCATTCTGTGACATGGGCTTAAGGATTTTAGAAAAAACATATCAAACACTTTCTGGAGAGCCACAAGGAAACTGACAGTGAAAATAAACTCATTCTCCCCTGTTTGTAAGCTCCTTTTCTGCTAATACAGAATTTAGAAACACATAGAGTGTATTGAACATGCTGATGTTCCTGCCTTCAATCTATTTGGATGGACTCTTTGGTTTCTCATATCTTTGGCCTATATATGTATGTAAGATTAGAATTGCACATTATGTAGTACAGTGGTACCTCTACTTATGAACGTGATCTGTTTCAGGGTGCTGTTCGCACCCTGAAAAGTCCGTATGTAGATCACTTCTGTGCATGCACACACGGTGAAACCCAGAAGTAAACACTTCCAGGTTTGCCGCATTCGCAACCCGAAATTCCGCAACATGAAGTGAACGCAACCAGAGGTATGACTGTATATGAGAGGAAACTTGATGTGGGGGTGCAGATTTTGGTTTCTAATACCTTCTTAGTCTGCCCTTATTAAGTGCAGCAGCAGAAGGGCTGACACTCTAGAGGGGACAGATTTGCACCTGGGTGCCAGGCCACCTCCCTGCCTCTCACCTGCTTGCTCGCAGTAGCGACACCTCCTTCTCTCTTTTGGGCAGTTTCTTCAGGAAAACAGGAATGTTTTCCATCTTCCCAAGCCTTGAGATAGTGCAGCTGCCTTGCAGATCAAAGGTCCCAGGTTCAATCCCTGTCATCTCCAGGTAGGGCTGGAAATGAATGAATGAATCTTTATTGCTTTATTATAGCAATAAAAACAACAATACAATATACAAAGAATAGAAATAAAAAGTCAATTATATAAAATACTTTTTAGGGTTTGAATCAATAGTCAAATAGTGGATCTTATTCTGATTGCCCCAGCTAAAAACCTTGCAACCTTCGCTGTCACCTGCTCATCTTGATCTACCAAGAGAAAGGGCACTGTGGCAGTGGTTGGGCAACCCAGAATGGACAATAAAAGAGGGGTGATAATCTCATTCCTCAAGTCTTTATAAAGAGTGCAAGCCAGAAGGGCACGTGCCACCAATTCGGTACTGAGGTAGGGCTGGAAAATATTGGGAAATATGGTCCAGATTGGTGTATGGCAACCTGACAGTCTCACGTCCCAAAATAAGTTCAGCAATACCATTTTCAATATACTGAGGGATTTAGGTCTAATGTGTGGCAAAAGACAAGGAACAACATGGAAATTATATGAAACGGCAATATTCAAAATTCAAATTGTGAATTTAACAGGCCAGTTTAGGAAGACTAGAAAAAGTTTTGAAGTAGGTCATCACACAAATGTTAGCAAGTACAAATTAGTGTGGATCATTTCCTGTAACTTAATTATAATTTCTCCTTTACGATAAAAAAGGGGTTATTTTCTTCTTTCCACAGTTGGGCGCATTCCCACCATTAATGTCCTATTGTAGCTAATTTCCAATTAACTTTTCAGCACTGACAAGAAAAAGAGGTTTTTACAAGGGTCTGGACTCCAGGCCTAACTTTTTCAGCATCAGACCAACCCAGTAAAA